TTGGCATAGTGTTAAGATTGTATAAGTCGTATTTTGATTGGTGGATAAATCACGTGATAAAAAGCCGGACATAAAATCATAACAGTCAGAGAACTGTGAAAAAAAGATGAATATATTTAGGATGTATGAATAGTTTTATAGTAGAAACTTAGGATTCTATAATGATCACTGTTGGGGAGAACCAAGAAATTCCTCGAAAAAAACCAGAAGGGGCCCTGAAAACGCTAGGAAACATTTTATTCAATCAGCATTCTTTAAACGTTTTTCAGAAACACCTAGAAAGTGACAAGTCAAGTGTTTAATAAGGTTCATGATCTTTCGAGAAGCTCAAGACTATCTGAAATGTTATAAATATCCTAAACTTTCTGTACATAAACTAACTTTGGAGTAAAGCGTTCTTCCCATATTTCACGCCTTTTTTTCTCGTGTTCAAGTTCCTGTGTGCAGTTAGCTTGAGGGTTACTAAAAGAGCTTAGGAAATCGTATAAAGAGTTCAATTAAAAGATTTATCAATTACACACTCACAGTTGAACTAAAGATCATCTAGTCTCACTTACAAAAAATGATAAATTTTAAATTGATGTGTACAAACACTCAGTGATTTATATTTTCATTTATGATCAATTTTATTATGTAATCAGATTGTTGACTGGTATCCTACTTTAAATTACACTGATTTAACCGTAACAGTTTTTCATTGATACTTTGAATGGAGGATGTAAACTTCAGAATTATTATTTTCGTTCAATTTGTGTATAATGGATCACATTTCTTCTGCATATTCTGACAAAATAAATCCGTTTATTTTTCAATTTATCTTTGTTATGTTAATAGTAGATATGACAATGTGAATCAATGTTATTTACTGTGCCTTGAAGAGATAACTGATCAATTTCTAATATAATTTGGATTTGTTGTGCAGACCACGTTTGTTTAAATCACTCATAATATTCCGGCAGATGAGTTTATAAATATGAGAAAAATAGTATTTTAGAAACGATGTGATTGTTATTTACATCAATTTTTATTTATAATTCATTAAGAACTCTTTATATGTCAGCCCATATGTGTTGTATGTAGTATAATTTATATTGTTACGTAGAGCTGAAGGTCTCATATGACATTGGAGGTTCACTGTTGATATTGTGGATAGTTCGGCACTACCTTGGCACGTTTTGCTGAATGTTCATATGCAAAATCGGTTTGCTGGTTAACTGATTTCATTCAAACTGGTGATTGCTTTTCAGTATTTTCAAAGGCCATTGTCATTGGGACATCACCATTGCTAACATTAATGAGTGTGACTGTTGTATAAGCGGAATAGGTCAACTTTGGTCTGTTCATACTGTGCATAATTGACTGACGCGATCAATGAACGAAATATTTATATATGTGATGTAAAGCAGTATATGAATGGTCCACCAGGGTGCTAGGTAATGTATTCATCGTCTGTAAACGTTTATTAAAAATAAGCTAAAAATTGTTGGTAAACGTTTGTATTTTTAAATTGTTAAAACAGATCATAACTTATCAGTTTATATTCACATCTGAGTATCCTAAAAAGATTGCTCAGATATTGTGATTTACTCGCAGGTTTTAGTAAATTTAGGTTGTAACTGAAAATAGAATTCAAGACGCGAGTTTCATTCTATTTGAGACTCATTAGAAGAATGAACCACCACTTCAGTGTTGATTTTTACACTGATATCAGAAACAGAAACCTTTTATCCATTGATTCCCGAAGATCAATAACTTGTTTAACATTTGTCAATCCATTTGTGAAGCTTTTGTATTATCTTCTTGTCCTAGATTATACTATTAACCTAAGATCCAAATTTACTAAAGCTAAAAATTATTTTAATAAACAGTTTTTCAGTAATCTTTGCACCCCCCCCCTAATGACCTTATTTATACAATTATACAGAAATTTGAACAACAAAAACAAACTGAAAGGGTATGTTTTTTTTATTATAGGAAAGCTTTGAACAATTGTTACAAACAGGAATTATGAACTTTGTATTACAAGTGAATTTGCTTGAAAAAAAAAATCGAAAATTTACTAGTTATATGTTTAAAGGATAATTTACAAATATATATTTGTGTAGGTGTATAATGACATTGTTTCAATCAAAATTTTTTTTAAAGAAAGATCTTAGTTGGAGGTAGTCAACAGGAAACTTTGGACCTAGATTCCGTGCTACTTAGCACGTCAGCAAGGTATACCTGTAATCTTGAGGGAATTGATGCTCCCTGAAGGATTCGACCCCTTGTCACCCAGCTTCACAGTCAGAGACGCTACCACTGAGCTATCCGGGCCGCGAAGAATGAAATGAGTAAGAAAGTCTAATTGGTAAAGCAAATTACAGTACACAAAAAGTATACGTTTGTATACGAATTTCCTTCCTATCTACACAAAGACATGAAGACTCTGACCGACTTCCATCAAGCTTTGTTTCTAATCTCTCACCTAATGCTTGGCCGTGGGATGGTATGTAAGCAGAGTCAAATGATGTCCCTACAATCGTTTAGCTCATCAGGCATCTGGAAACGAAATACAACTCAGCGAAACAAATTCAAACTATGTTAGAGTATTTCCATGAAAACATGAATCAGTTTAATTTAGATAACAGCTAAAAACCTGAAAGCACTGGACTGCTGTTTCGTCCTAGTATTGTGGTGTGTACTACTTAAACAGACCTATATGAGTAGTATGTAGAGGGGATTGGAGGTAGAATTCTCACCGGTAAAAACGGGAGTAAAACAGAAAAATCGGAGTAACAACAGTGATGGAAGAATGATGGAGTTTGCGAAAAACAATTCATGAAAGATGTGCAAATGATACATTTATGGTATCGTTTTCATATTTTACGGATACAGTGTGAAATTTCGTATAATATTGATTTTCTCCTGCCCAAGACTTCATGTGTCACACTATTGGACACCTCAGCAAAGCGCATCAACGACTCTAACCCACGACTATCGATCTGATGTGTGGAATCTTAACTTCTGATCCACTAAACCAAAATCCGATGTTGAACAAGTCCAACTTCATTCTTGTTGGACCTTTACCTTACTGGAATATTTTGAAGAATCCAGCTTCGTAAAATAATAATAACAACAAGAACATTTAGAATCTAGTCATAGCACGTAAAGAATTTCAAAAGATAAGATCATATAATGACAAGAACTGTGTGATGAAATATTAATATATTGAATTAGTGAAGCCTAACACCAAATGTTTTACAGTTGTGAAATTATAAATTGTTATCTATAGTAAGAGCGTCAGTATATTTTCAGATGTAACATTTAACACAAGTATTTTTATGATTTCTTATTGTTATCATTGGTTATGATGGATAAACCAATGATAAGATCGAATAAGTTACAAATATTGCTGACCATTAAAATGAATATGATAGTTAATTTCTGGATACCGAAATCACATTACCTAATGACAGATGTAATTAAGCAGAAATCTGTATATTTCGTGAGTTTTTCAGTAGTTTCATTTATTTCTTTAAGAATTTTGTCGTAGACAAAAACAAGAGATTGAAAAGTAAAATCATCGAAGATAAGTTCTTGTAATGAATGTACTTCACACTAGATGACACCATTACTATTGAAAATCATCAGTAGACTGGTAAGAGCAAGTTATTTTGTTTGGATTTAAGTACAATTTTTCTTTCAGTGTATTGAAATTTAAATAATAGTACGTTGATTGTCATTCAGAAAGAAAGTTCAGGCAGATTATCAGATAAATTTTACGAGCTGACTGTCAAGTTTTGCAATAAAGTCTAAATGAACTAAGATTACAAATTTTGATGTCAACTGAAGAAACGATGATGACTAGGGAAGTACAAGGACATAATCCAGATTATTATTCCGTGCTAAGTAGCATAAATCTCCGGCTTGTCTACTGCTTGCATGTTATGTCTAAAAATTAATCGTTAGTACGTACTGGAGGTGTAGCTGACTGACTGGGGGTGACTTTGGAATGACTATCTGCAAATGCAAAGTGGAGTTTTTAATTAATGTGTAAATTTCCGTTCCATCTAATAAATATTGCAAATCGGGTGTGACTATACTTTATGGATGACCTTGGAGTGACGCTAGACTGATCTTGAGAGTGTCCACCTAATAACCGCTACCAAATGAGGGTTACAAACCCGTGAGATATTAGAATTATGATTTGCAGTTGATGGTTGAGGTGAGAACCTAGGGTTTTCATCACGAACTGACATCAGCTATAGTGCCAAACTCTACTTAACCAATTAGATGGGTGAATTTCGCTCCAAAATCCAAGACCTGTTATTTTATACGTGATTGGTTCGTCCATAAATTATAGTCTTGCCCAAAAATATGTTCAGATAAATTCGGAAAGTGGGCAGGATCATTTCCAACACATAGTTAGTCCAGTATATGTGTTGCAAATGATTGTGCTTTCCTTTATTGACTAAACTTGTATTCTAGATAAACCACTCTATTTACGTTTTCAATCTATCCTTAATCTGTTATTTATTTATTTTAACACATAGATATTGGTACAATGAGGCACCGAATATATATGCGCCACACAGATCTCATTTTATATGTATGAGGGCTGTGATACTACCCGGGTGTCCAAACCGAACCAGGTGTGAAATATATACATAACTTGGGTACGTCAATACATTTCTACTGACAAATGCAGTAGAAATATAATCGTAGTATTAATATCTAGCCTATCAAGTGAAAAGAATTTAAGTTGAAGTGATACAAAATTCACCATCACTTGTCCGTTATAATTACAACACTTAGATTACGTTACCAAATTTTACCTTTAGTACGAGTGATTGAATATCCCTTGTGTTATTATGTTATTCCATAATAAAAACCTAACAAAAATAGACATGCGGACAGGAAATTTCAAAGAAAAGAAAACAACCTCCAACAATTTACACAATATTTCCTTGTTTTTCTATATATATCTATAGTAAAGTCAAATAAATAAAATGCAATTTGTGGACATAAAGACATTTAGTATAAAAAAAAGACATATTATCAAGTAATGTGTATAAATATATCTGCATATAACATGTAATTAGAGTACAGTGAGTCATTAATGAAGAGAATGTATGTGAGAGCTTTATTTTTCACCTGAAACTTTCCATCATTCTTTCTTTTCCCATCTACAATTTTCTTGTAAAAATGAAAAATGTAATCTCACAAAGCGATAAACAAGAAAATGATACGGTGTAATACAGAGTTTTTAGAAGAAATAGAGAAAACAACAATAACAAATTTTTTCTAACCTTGATATAATATAATTTATCCGTATACCTAAGAAGAAACTAGTATAGAATCAGGTATAGAGGCAACTACAGATATACACCACATAGTTCGACAGCAAGACAGACGTAGGGGTAGAACATGGTGTGATAGTAAACCATATATATATGGCTGAATCACATTCAGTGACACAAATGAAAACAACAGAACAATATAACAATGATACCAGAGCACATTTTTAACAGCACATACACTATAGACAGAGTTCTCAACACTCTAAAGTATGGTAATAATAATAATTCTAACGTTAAAACTAGTAGTAGAAATAAGAATTTAAATATATCTGAAAACACTTGTTTCCGGTTGATTTTTGTTCAAAGAAAGGGCGTACAAGATTTCCTACGCTGTCGGTCACCAACATACATTTTACTGGTGTTTCAAGTGAAAACAAAATAATCTAAAAAGGACATGTGCATAAACACAGGAAATAGCTTCAGTAATGATAATAATAGATCTTTCTTTAGAATTTGAACGTGTGGAAAATTCCAATGGATTATTAACAATAAATAATAAGAACAGATGAATTCGAAAATGTACATGAATGTGTGTGTGTATGTGCCTATCTGTATCCAGAGATCTGTCTAACGAGATTTTAAATTGAATAGATTGTTAGATTAATTGTTAAACGAGACAGTTAGTCAAATAGTTAATCGGTAAGAAGTATTTGATAATGACCGGTTTACTTTTCTGTAAAACACTTCCTTCATATCACTGGTAAGAGGAAACAGTTCGTTAAGACAAACACACAGAAACGACGTTATGTAACTAGTAACGGTCAGAAATACAAGTACTGGCCTGATATCAGTTTATAATACTGGTGTATAGCTACCAGATGTATGTGAAATGTTCGAAAAACATTACTTATCAGAGTTAGTAATGTGATGATGTCATACAAAATAATAACTTAACATTTATATTTACACAAATAGTAGAAAAGATGAGTAAGGGAAAAATGGAAACGGTGGAGCGTGGTGAAGATCAAAACTAACACTAACCACAACAATGATAAGAAAAAAGTAGTAAGCGTATGAGACGTTTGCTTCGTGCCGTGGCTGCATATTATTTCAATGTGTCAATAAAAATAAATACGTGTACTGATGATTATGATGGGAATAATAATGATGAAAGCAATGAGGAAAGGATGAATATCGAACGTTATCCACAGATTTTATTAGAAAGCAAGGGAGAATATGTGTAGTTCAACACCATCACTTTTATACATAGATTCCTACATGTGAATGTCGCCATTACCTTTGAAAGATTAATTCCTAATATGTATAACAAAAATGTTAGTGCATTAGGATGATCATCATCAGAAAGTGTAGCGTCATTTCGCGTTCAATTATTTGTTGAGTTTTCAGCAGCTATACGGTCAGCTCGTTGTTTCACACTTTGTTTTAACGCCAATAAAAATGGTGATACATTTTTGTTGGAATCATCATCAATCATTTCATCAGTATTATTATTATTATCATTAGCAATAATGCTAGTAGTGGAAGTACAAGTGATATTCGTAGTCTGAATTGGAGAATATTCTAATTTCACTACATCACTGCAGTATTGTTCTGTAAACATAGAAGGTGGCGGTGGTGGAGGTAAATCGAAATCATCGTGTTTTATGGATTCCTTGTGAAATATATCTCTTGTTTTAAATGTTGATTGTGAAATGTTTACATCATTCGATCGTGCAGCAAGTTGTTGCAATTGTGAAGATAATTCAGACATAAGATTAGCAGTTTCTACAGAGACCGAATCAGTTGGCAAAGTTTCATTGTAATCTTAGAAAAAAATTGAACAGAAATTGAGAAGGAGAAAGAAATGTAGTTTTAATGAATATAGCAATTGATTGATAGTTAATTTATAGAAAAAAAATATCACACACACTGAATCCTCGTCAATAGTTCTAGAGATATCTAGATTATTAGCATTAATTTATAACTACATTGAAGTCAAAATTATTACAACATCCAAAGAGTAGTTTTAAACAAATCGTTGCAAATCTTATTTACAGATGACTTATGTATCAATCTTTTCTCAACTTTATTTTACCCATAATAAAGTGTGACAGTTATAATTTGGATTTGACTAACTTCAAGTTACATTATTCAAATGAGTGAAATCAAGGACAAGTTATGATTACAGGAACCAGATAAAGTCATCTTTTATTTTAAAAAATAGGTGACAATATTGAATCGTCACAAGAAAATATTGTTAAGCTACTATTTATAAAGAAATACTGAAGGTATAGTGCCATCAACAGTTGATAGGAGAATGAACTCTAACCTGATTACGACAGGCATGATAAACACAATGCAGACTATTGTCCATGATCATGATCCATCCCTATCCAGTGACTAGTCAATAGTTATGTATTATTCATTTTCGTCTTAATAAATAAAAAAAACTTTTGTGAATATTTCCCAATTTATATTTAATTAATCAAAAGAAAGTATATTGAAAAATACACTTATATTGTAAAAAGAGTTTAAGTCTATGTGAAAAGTATGTAATTATGAATGGTCTATAATTTTCCTTATTTTTTCTAACCTAGAAAAAAGAAGTGGTCATTGATACATTACATTTAAATGTCTGAACGGAAAAGAAAAACTATTTTGCTGAATTTACATTCTTCATAAAACAAACTAGTTGATAGTAGAAAATAGTTAAAAGTGACGTAGACATAGATGATGAATGACCATCCGTTGTACAGATTTACAAAATGAATAAACAAATTATACGTGAATATATTAAAAATAAATAAAATCACACGACAAAGGTAGACAATTATTAATTTTAAAAAAACGTGTTTGACAAGCTTGACTACATGGATAGATGGTTAATAGTAAGATTAACATATTGCTTAAGTACAGGTTGAATAATCGGTAAAAATTATTATACTTTTGTAATACAATATTTCAAAACAAACATCATCTGTTTCACATTGTATGCGACTGATGCGTTACACCCCATTAACAGTTTGAGATTTGCATCTTCTACTACTGTTAAGCTCACATTCTTTAAGTGAAACCAAGATACCATCTGACAACATGTTATTTTCCAAAACATTTCTCAAAAATCTCCAGTGTTTTACGATAACGAAAGGTAGCAGTCCTTACGTTATCGTCGAAATACTGGACTAGGTAATTAAGCTTCGAAATTTCTTATAAAATTACAGTAAGTTACGAGTATGCCATTGAACCTTAAAATATCTCACTTTGGTAAATACAGTTATCAAAACTTTCTCTTTCCTAACAATGTGATTTCTCTAGTTCTTTTTCATTCGCTATGTTACGTGAGACTTACCAGACTGTAGCTCTACTGAAGAATTCTTTTTAAATTGATTTTCGTTCTAATCTTTTGAACGATCGGTTAACGATTCTGGAATCTCGTAACACTATAGCACTTCTTATAAATTATTTCAGTAGTGAATGTATTCGATGTTCAGTAAGAACAAGATTATTGTCCGAAATTTTGTTCAATTTATCTTTCTATTAAAGGAATCTCTTAAACTGTCGATTATAGAGTCAAGGCGTAGCCAAATAGCTTATTTGCCTTAGTCGAAGCAAATAAGCTATTTGACTACGCTACGGTAGATACAAACCTACTAATCAAAACCAGTATAATGGTTGCAGCGAGTAAATAAATGATCTAAAATAAATTACATTATTGCATTTGTAATCATTCTGTTTGTTCGGATAAATCTTGTGTTTATTGGCATTCCTAAGTTTTATTTTTTGACCTCATTCGATTCTTTTTAACTGTGACAAATGATCGAAAACAAAATGATGGGTTATTGTTTAAATCAATCAATATATGGCAAGTTCGAATTCTAGCCTATATATTTACATTTTGAAAAGCTGGGTAAAAGTAACATTAAACCTAACATTCAGAGAGAGTTACCTTATCAGATTAAAATAATTGAACATTTTTATCCCTAATACAACGTTCTTTGGACCGAAATACACACACTGGGTTCGAATTTAAAAATTATTATATATAGTTCAGCCTATATGATTAAATAGTTAAACCAAAGAAGAATTTACACACATACAGATCATCGAGAACTATCGAATTCTTACCGGAATATTTTGGACAAGTTATTTCTTCTAGTGATGGATGAGGTGTTGACAGATTATTTGGCGATACTGGTAAAAACATAGGTAGAGGAGGAGGTGGAGGCGGTGGTGGTGGAGGAGGAGGGGGAGGAGTTGGAGCATTTCCGTTTGGAACACCCGTTGTCCCAGGGATGGTTTGTAGATCGGTGTTAGTTTGATGATTATTTATGCAAACTTGATTACTAGCCAATGTGGATTGTCTCAACAGACTGAACACTTGACCTGAAGTAGTAGAGCATTGAGACTGATTTTTGATTACAGGAGTTGCATAGTGTAGTTTGTTCTAGCAATAGATACAATAACATTTTAAAAAATGACAAAATTGATTGGAGGGGAATCAAATATAACTCTCCAGTTAACTTACAGAAAACGGATAGTATACATAAATGTTATTTGATGATAACTATGTAGAAAGTCGATTCGATATCTTGAGTTCGATTTAATGACGAGATTGATGAGGGAAAAGGATTTAAGCAAAATTTATAGGTAATCATATCTTTTCTTTCATATGTGAACATAATTTCATGGTCTTTAAAATGCTTTGGAAAGAAATGAATAGAAGTTTAGCCGAGTCAATCACGAATTTCAACGATATGAAAGTCACCAATAGGTAGTATCACTATTTGTAAGTCAGTTTAAGTCAATATAATAAAAGAGATAAGGATAGGATATATGTCCGTGAGCTTGTAGAGCACCTACCTTTTAGTGTTCAATATGAGTGGAGTATCTAGCACTTTCCCATTCATTTACTAAGTGAATGTTGGATATAAGAGCATAACTTTTACTGAGGACTTCATTTCGAGCACTAACTCTCACTTTCTTTGCTTTTTTCATCCGGCCAGTAGGGATGCGCTACTGTGGTGTGTTCATAGATATATGTAAATGGATTTAGATGATTAAAGTGAAGTCCCAAGTGAAGATGATACTGACAAACTAATGAGCAGAAAAATGCACAGAAATGCTGCATATTGTACTACTAGTGAACATCAAAAGCAGGATGGTTACCCACAGAAAACAGATACTAATTCAACAGGGCGTTTGAACTGAAAACTACCGTTTTGAGCATACAGATTACAAGCACTGAAAAAAACATATGTTTATAAGTGTTATGTTTAATTAACCCGATTTTCGTTGTCCCAATAAATCCGTTAATACCTGAAAAAACTATGTGATAAGACTTAAGAAAGTTAAATTATTGTTAGTAAAGGGACAGATTATTCAGCACTTGTAATTAACATCTGGACGAAAACTTGTTAAATTAAGTTGTACTTATTCAATACACAAGATCTGCTTATAAAATGAGAACAATCGTTGAATAGTAGCATTTCTCATTAGTAAGCATCAATTCATTCAAGTTTGCAGATATTTATCTGGGTGGACAAGTACGAATAAAGTTTCTCTCTTGTTTTTTGAGATAAGCTAAAATTAAGAAGTTAACATGTGATGCGGCAATTCAACTGGAAGCTTCAGCTAGAAAAAATGACAACACACACAATACTTAGATCTAAATAATTTGAAAATTAACTAAGAATTGGTGAAGATCACAAACCATTAGCAGTTTTTCATACAGAAAGAGATAACTTCTAGGTAGAAGGCTGGATTTCTAAATCATTCAGATATTTCATAACAAAAACAACGGTTATAATATTTTACAAATTAATAAAAATCCAAAACATTGCAAATGATCTAATCGTAAATCAGTCCTTATGTTGTAAAAGTCATTAAAAGCTGTAAAAACGATTAAATATACAGAAGTAACAGAGTTTGAGTGTTTTATATTTGCAAAACTCCCAAATATGGAAAAACAAAATGGTGGTGGATGGAGGTAGTTGACAGGATACCCTACTTGACCTGGGCTTCGTGATATTTGATACTAGTCAGGAAGGTATAGCTGTAATCTTGAGAGAACTGATGCTACCTGCCGGATTCAATCCCGTATCACACAGTTTTACAGTCAGAGACGTTACCACTATGCTATTCGAGCCGCAATAAACCCCCTGTATGACTGAAATGAAAGTTAAGCTACAATGCCACTTGATCAATAGAATTCGACTAGAACTACGAAGGATTGAACATATATGACATTGGTCACTACTCAGTGCTCAATAAATTTAGAAAAATAATATGAAGTGCTTCTCAAATCTTTATTTATTCATTAATAGATTTGTAGTTTATCAAATGAATCAATTTACAGAATTTAATATTCTTTGTAGAATATTTAGAAATAAGGAATATATGAGTGGATAATTGTTTTCAATAAATTCATCACCAGGGGGCTTTAAGGTTATAAATTTATAATTATTGTGCTACGATGATAAAAAAGGGATATACAAACAAATGAATTAAATATTGTACTATATTTGAATAATCAACTTTTGAGTCAGTTCAGAATGCATTATTTTCAAGTTTGAAATGTCATCCACTTACTGAAATGTTAAACAAAAACGCAACAATATTAGTGGAAGATCTTTAACTAACCTCTAATATTTGTTGTTCATTGCTGGTCATTGGATTCGGATTTGATGAAAATGATCTTTGTGTACTATTTTGATTCGCGTTATAACTTGTCAACGCTGGACTACCATTTGAACTAGGCAATGAATCATTTGTTGTTGAACTAGCCATTGTAAGTGATGAACCACGACTAGATCCTAAAATGATTGATTTGTTTTTGTTGAAAAAACAAACAAAAGAAATGGAAATAGAAGAGAGAGAGAGAAAAAAAAACAAGAATGTACATGGAATGCAATTTGCATGTTATATCTAATGAAAAAGCACAGATAACAAAATAAAAAGACTACATGTGTAATTGATAATTTCACCGTGTATTTTGTAATGTAAATGTAACACACACACACGCACACGATACACCAAGAGAATGTGGAAAATGCAAAACAATGTGTTAGGTTAGCTTTATTTTCTTACAATACACCTTTAAATGTTACTGTAAGGTTTAAATAAGAAAAAATACAGAAAAGCCATGGATGTTCTGAAATCAATTATTCATCAAAGCAATACAAATAAAGATAGAACAATCAAGTATATCAACTGATTATCTACAGTGATTTTATCTGTGGAATTGATTATTTTACGAGGACTGACTATACTCTATTAAATTGCAACAATAGAAATATGAGTTGATGAATAATGGATGTGGAACTTTATAAATATGTGCAAAAGATTGTGTATTTGAAGATGGATTATTTTATGTAAGTACTTGTGCATTTGCCTAAACTGGAGTGAACTAAACAAAACTACTTGAACACAAATACACTGAGAAAATAAGAATAGTTTTTTTGTTGTTGAAAAAATGGTTAGTTTTAGGTCGATATCGTTTTCTTACGATATACATAGCATTGTATAAATCAGAGCAGAGAGGTATAAATGTATTATATCGATTATTATTAACAGTCAACGGGAAAGAGAGGAAAAAACTCACATGTGCTTTTGTATATACAACAAAAATCTATTGGTGAATAAAACAATATTACTAATGCTGCACAAATAATACCCCATCTTTTTTTCATAACATTCAACACCGTAAAATCCAAAAAAGGAATATTGAATACTGACTAGATGTTGTATTATTGTAGTGAAGTAATCTAGTCTACAAGAAAATATTTAAATTATTTTGATAGTGTATTAAGAAGAAAGATTAAAGATCGGTTACTTACATTTATGAAAGGAATTATTTCTTTAATTAACAATTCCCAACTTTCTTTTCCCTAAACCTTATTAAGATTAATGACAGACATATCGAAGGGAAGTGAATGAATCAATAACTAATAATAATGCTTAAGTAAACAGAACTTTTATCCATGAGAAGAATGTAATATGTACATAGAAGATATATTAAAGAACATTTATGTCGAATTTTGAAGCTTAAAAAATCCGATATCTAATGGGTTGTTTCTATTTGAAAGATTTAATAACAGTACAGAAATAATAATCTTAAGTAATGTTATTACGCAACTAAATGGATAATGAACAAATTCATTTAACAGGGCATAGAAAACATCTACTGTTAAATTATAAGTGATTTTATTTGAAGAATAAAGCCTTAGTAAATAAACAATTATTTAGTGGAACATTGAATATCGAAATCACTTGGCTTGACCTACATATGACCTAACGCTTTCAGTATAAACGCTAATACAATGAAACTCCATAACATTTAAAACCAGGATAAATCGGACAAGATTCAAAGCTGTAATTTAAATTGAGGACTTCATTTACTTGTAGGGATGAAAAACTGCTAGTCTAGTTTCAGTGGATTTCAGTGATATTTTATGCAGTATAGAAGTGCCTCGATACAAAATTGATAGATTAAATTAGATTTAAGTAACGCAAATGAAATATCTGATCAAAATGTTATAGTATAGAAGAATGAGTAGTTTATAATGTATTTAAGATCTTCAAATACATAATAATATGATTACACTGCTTGATTACAATATAGATAATAACAACAACAAAAATTAAACCGACCTATCATTCATTTCATACTATTAATGAATGAAATTATAGAATGGAAATGGTGTTCAGTTTTATTTTATGTGAAAATACAAATCTAACTAATGACAAAATTTAATTCAAGTAGAAAGTTTTTCACGTTTAACATGATCAGTAAAAACGAATCATAATGTTATTAAGTAAAAGAAAAGAAGAAATGCATAAACAAGCATCTAATTAAAATTTAACAACCCCCACAACCAGTGAAGTTCGACGGTATCGGGTATGAAAAACATAACCACCGAAGACAATGGATGATTGTAGCGCAATATAGAGGAATTATTGGAGTAAAACTTGTATACCATTAGATTCTGGCTAAGGAGCCTAGAGGTTAGACAATCACCCATCAGATAGAAGTCCCTGGGTTGAAGTCCTGGTGGTGATGGGGTCGTAGAAGTGCACCGTTGAGAAGTCACGCTAGGACGAAACAGTTGTTCAGTGACTCTAGGTTTCTAGTAGTTGCCTGACCTAGATCGGTTGGTGATTCCAATAAGATTCCACAATCTTCTCAACTTCTATATTGACAAACAATAGTTTTAGAGGTCACATTTATTCCTAATCGCACATAAAGTAACACAATACAAGTATTTCAACACTTAACAAACAGTTTCGCTTTAAGAAATATGAATTTAATAAAACTAGTCCGATGAATTTTATTTGAAGTGCTGGAAAAGTATGAAAAAACGGGAAGGTTTGAAAAAAAAACCAGATATCCATTGATTATCTATACTACTTTTGCGTATGATTGATTATTAAACAAGAGTTAAAAATACTAATCAGTTGTATGAGTTGACGAAACTTTATAGCCAAATGTAGATGATTGTGTACTTGGTTTGAAGAGAGTATTCTATGTAAGGAATTGTGAAGTCATTCAGTTGCCTCAACCAGAGTAAGTGAAGTGAAGTTTGGACCTAGGAATAGAATAGTTTAATGCTGCAAGGAGTAAGCCACTGCTTCCCTTATATGAGGGATTTTGTAATAAGAATCTGAAATAAATACATTAAGTAAGCAGTGATTTCAACCTACTTCAAAGACTTATGGGTTACACTTACTTAATGAGGTGTAAAGTTCTAAAAATAAATATATCTTTGTAGAATAAGCTCTGAGTTGCATATCTTGCATGTACTAATGAAATATAGATATCGTGGGATATTAAATAAGAGTTGTACGTCAATGACTTCATTTTATAACTACACAAAACAGTAACGAAAAAATATACTGAACGCACTTTATCTACATAATGGACCAAACGCGATTATTGGCTTAAATGTTTAACAAATCTAATTTATTTATTTCAACACATAGATATTGGTACAAAGAGGCACCAAATACATATGCACCACACAAATCTCATTCGATATGTGTGAGGGCTGTGATACTGCCCGGGTGCTCAGACCGAAACAGGTAGTTTTCTTAGGGGGCCACACCCCGAGCCTTCGACCTGAAGCTCTGATCCACAAGGCAGTGGAGCACCGTAAGGAGATGCAGTCTCAAGGAAGCCGGTGACCAACAATTGGTTCATTCGCCATTTGTTCCCGAAGGATGCTGGAGCCCATGTGCACCATTGGTTTGGAATCCGGTTAAAGCGCCGGACATTCGCTTTTCGTCCTGTCATTTTCGTAAACAACACCCCCGCCACGAGAAGGCAGTGAGTAGGACTTCCCTGGCAGAGGCTATATACGCGTGGCCATGTGAGAGCATTTCGAGAAGGAGAGAGGACTCTCCCCACTCTCGGCCGTACCAGGGCATTTGGGGGCTAATATTTTTGTCTGAAAGCAAGACGATAAGCCATAAAACATTTGGACTGTGAAGATAAATATATATCAGGGTTACAGAACGAAATGTACCTACAATGACAATATGACGATAAACAATAAGCGCTCAATTGAATGATACACTTTTAAAAAGCTTATAAAAGGCATTCCAACAGCTAACTATTAACAATCCTCTAGCTACTATGAATTTATAATAGATATACGTCTTTGTCATATTCAAATAATATAGAAAAGGATCAGAACTATACAAACATATAAATTTGAACAAAATTGAAATAAATTTCAAAGAAATACTACGCTTGAATTTGATCATACATTATTGATAAAAAATCAAAATGATCCATGGTTGAAGATGTCAATTATGTCTGGGGTTTTTTTCTTTAAGAAAAAGAAGAAATGAAATACGTAATATCTTTTTACATTCGATTGTCATAAATTTATTCAACTCTATTGAATATCAATGCTCAATTCATTTTTATAATTCAATTACAATTAAATACTTTCTTGCCATTGAATAAAAAAAGCGTCATATTCGCATAAACAAAAGAAAAAATTTCACTAAAGATGGACATTTTATAAATTTCTATAATCCAATATAATACTGTATCAAGTCATAGGAAAAATAGGCGCAAGTACATTTTAACTGAACTACTGTTGGAATGTACCCCCTCCCCTCTTCTCAATTAGTAACGTTCTTATTCCTTTATAATAGTATTAATAATAGTAATAATAGCAGTACATATTTCTAATTAAAAAAATATGAAATACTGATTACATACTGTTTCAGTCATTTCCATACTTAGATATTAAACCATAATAATTAGGAAAGAAGAAAATGATTTGTAAGCTTTAGTCAATCATATTGTTCCAAAATAAAAACTGTTAAAACTTGAAATTCCAAACTTCATATCCCTTTTAACTAAGTTATACATTATTGATGGACAATTCATATTTAACCCCCTCAAATTCAAAGATACATTGAAAAATTTCGAAATTAATTAAGCTTATTTAGTTTGTATGCTTTTAGGCTGTAGAGAGAAAACAATAAAGTACACAACACTACTTATTCCGAGCTTTTCGAGATATATATATATATATATATATATATATATATATATATATATAAATGAAATATGCAAAAAACAATTTGATACTTATCAGTGAATAATATACACATTTTAATTAGCTAGCCTGTAATATTAGATACGTACAATACAAAATAAGTGCGCATCATATATTCATCAGTATGGGGATTCGTGGAGATTGTAGTATTTTCACAGTTGATTTCGCTAGTCGATCTAACCTAGAGCACCATTGGAAACCTGGACTTCTAGTGAGAAACCATGACCACTGGAGTTCAATCCGTGTGAGATATGACACAGTTATCCCCCTTAGACAATAGATGAAGAATTACGCAGGAACACGGATCGAATGTAGTTAAAAATTAACATCACTGAATGCCGGCTCAGTGGTTTAGAGATTAGGCATTCACGCATGAGACCGAAAGTTCTGGGTTCGAGTCTAGAGTGTGTGGTCGTGAATGCGCACTGCTGAGAAGTATCGTATATTTATTGAATACTATTTTTCTTAAAAAAGATTTAATACTTCGGCAATTAATTTATCTAAAATTTATGTGAAGGAGGTGAAACCAGACTCA